AGAGACCAGACAGAGTAACATTTCTGAAAGAGGCCATGGGTGTTGTAAATTACTAAGCCTTTGACTGCTAACAGAAAGGCTGATCCTTTAATTCACCCAGAGATGTCTCAGAAGTAAGATCTTGCAATCTGCTTCCACAGATTACAATCTTGAAAACCCTCTGTGCTATCTTCCTCTCTGCATTACATGGGAGATAGGAGTTCAGAGTGACTTGATGGAAACTTTTTTGGTCTGTTTTGTTATTTAACAAGCCACGGGCTTGATGGCATGTCTGATGATGGCTGCTTTCACCATGACTTCAACATGTTTCTGTTAGGTGTGAGTTTGTGAAATCCTTGTCTAAACTGCCACACTTCCTTTCTGGTTTTATCAGATTTTCTGCCTCAGAAGAGCTGAGGTTTTGTAAACTTACCTTTCAAAGTACTGACACACTGCTTCTCAGAAGGCTGAGTTAGGCGAGGAGGCCCCAGGACCAGGGACTCCACGCGGACACAGTACTGGGTGTCAGGCTCCAAGCCGCGAACCAGTGAGTGGTTGGTCACACACTGTACCCACTAAGGGGACAATAAACAGTATTTAGGGTCTCAGATGGCAGGTACCACCCAAAACAAAAGTCTCAGAAGGAACTCAGCCTTATCTTTTAGCTCAGGATGGTATGGTGAGAACTAAATAGGAACAGAAACCTGTGAGTGTCAGAACTCAAAGGGACGGCCTTGTGTTCCCCGGTCCTGTAAGCTTTCTGCCTTTTAGGAAATACAGTCGTACCATTTTCCTACTGCTTGCTTTAGAGGAAAATACTTGCAATTTCCTTCTCTGAAAGGTCCTCACTACCACCCCTTTTACTCTAACTGCATAGCAAGAAATGCCCTTGTTGAACTCTGTCTTCTCACTTGCTAACCTTTTCCCTTCTTGGAGAGTGAGTGATTGACAGGGGTACACAAGGAAAAGCTCTCCATCAAAGGGAAACAGGAAATCAAGCTACACTCCAACTGTAAGCTCACACTGAGTTAACGGTGCCTGTAAAATAGGAGGGCAGCTCTTCGGTAAGCTTCAGACTCACCATTCTATTGGATTTGGTATTGTACACGGACACATTATACTTCAGAGTAGGGAAGATTTGTTGCATAGAAACAGAGCCTTCTTCTGAATTTCTCTTCCATTTTTCTGGAGCCGTCAGAATTATTAAAATGGACTTCTCATCAGTAGTTAAAGCAATTGCTGGTGGGCCAATTTGTGCTTAAAGGGAAAGGATAATTGTCATGTCCAGAGGTAAAAAATCACCCTAGATAAAACTACAGTAAAATTCTCCTGAGATAAATGTCCTAAAATCCACCTTCTTGTTAAGTATGAAACAATCACTTCACAACCTCGAAATATTAAAACCGTTCAGTGTTATATGTCCTTATTTCCTAATTATGGAGATAACCAACATTTGATAAAAATACACTTGCTAACCCTCCTGGGACTTCAAAAATTCATGACAAAGAAATTTAATATGATTTGACAGTGGTGAAAGTCAGACATGGAGGAATAAAGAGCTGCTGAAGACCTTGGAATGAAGCAACTGGAATGATCTTGAACAGAAGTTAGCTATCTTTTACCATAAAAAGCCCACAGTTAACATTTTACGCCTTGAAGGGCACATGATCTCCATCACAACCCCTCAACGCTGCCTTCAGAAGTAATGCACAAATGATTGACAGTCGCTGGTTCCAAACCAATTTCATTTGTGGATAATAGAATTTTACCTAGTTTTATGTAGCACAAAATATTCTTATTTTGTTTTTTAATGCAGGTCAAATTAAGGTAACATAAAATTAACTGTTTTCAAGTGAACCTTTCAGTGGCATTAGTACATTCCCAATGTTATACCCACTAGACTTGTCTAATACCAGAACTTTTCATTATCCCTAAAGGAAACCCTATTCCCATTAAACAGTTACTCCTTCCTCATTATTTCCCCACTCTCAGTCCCTGGGAACCACAAACCTGCTTTTCATTTACCTGTTCTGGGCTTTTCATGGAAAAGAAATAATACACTATGTGACTTTTTGTGCTTAGCTTCTTTTATTGTTGTTGTTGCTGTTATTGTAGTTACCTTTGAGTTGAGCACGACTCATAGTAACTCTATCAACAAAAGGCCTGAAGCCCCCTCTATAACTATCAACATTTATCAAAGTTCATCTAGTTTCTGGAGGCATGTTATTTAGGATGTGGATGCCACTCCTCTTCCTTTATTAAGCATGATATTTTAAAGGTTCATCCTTATTGTGTCCTTTTTGTAACTGAATACTGTTCCATTTTATCTATATAACACAATATATTTATTAACCACCACCCTTTTTAAAAAGTCATCTGAAAATACGTCAAATCCTTTTTTAGCTCTTGGACCACAGCAAAACAGGAATGAGGAAAATGAGGTGAGAAATGGCATTCAGGATTGTAGTCTATGACTCGACAGCACTTTAACAACAAAAACAACAACAATAGGAGAGACAGGAGAGCATTATGCTAAGTGAACTAACTCTGTCCCACGAGGACAAATACTACATAAAACCATTATTGTAGAATGAGTTATGAGGATCCAAGCAGTGGCGGGAAGGGGGTAGTGGAAGCAGAGGCGTGAGGATGGGTGAGGAGGGGAGATGTTATTTATAGGGCTGCACAATTTGGGGGAGGGTAGGGGTGAAGGAAATGGGAAGGATCTTGTGTGAAAAACAATGTTTTGAACCTTGTAGGTAAATCAATATAATTTTTTTGTTTTTTAAAAGAAGATAAAAAGAGAGATTATTTGGCCATCAGTTCATTGAAAAGATGAGACTGAAACCTGGCCCTGGCCACTCAGTCAGCTGGTGTGGAATGGAGACAGCAGAAGTTGTCTCAAGGGAGTGGTTGTCTAGAGGCTGGGACTATTAAATCAGGAGGCCAGATTTACTTTATGGAACACATTTCTAACAGACAAATGGACACAGTGGCTGCAAACTGTGAGTCTGCAACAGGCTGGAGAAGGTTTCACTCTGTTGTGTCCTGGGTTGATGTGAGTTGAGTTGGAAGTGACTTCACAATATCTAACAACAACTACGACAGACAGTTACGTTACTTACTTTCTAAATATGGATAGAACCGTCGAGTTTCTGCCCATTTGGAACAATTAGCTTTCCAAATGGCCTTAACTCTAGCATAATATTGGTGCTCATAGTCAGAAGTTTCAGCTGAGAGATCACAGTGTGTCCTGTTGATATTCCTGCACTCAGGTTTATCCAGCCATTTCCTTTGTCCATATCTGCAAAGAAGGAAATTGTGAATTAATACTGAGATTCTCCTAGTACATAACTCAGTCATTATATAAAACTGAATGGAATTTAAGACCTCTCTTTTAGAAAAACAAAAGTTCCTGTCATTTTGATAAAAGAAACGCATTTTGCTGCTGGCAATTTTTTTATTAGCTGTCAGGAATATGAGTCAGAGTTTCTGTAAGCACCTTCTGTTTCTGTGAATTATAAATGTGGATAGTACATTCTGAAAGCACTTGTTTTTTTGCACAGTAAAGATCTTACACATTGTGTGATTAATCCTCCTGGTAATTATTTATGTTTTTAGTCCACTATGTATAGTAAGGATTGTTTGATCTGATGACGATGAAGAACAGAGCAAGAAAACACTGCATGGTTCAAAATCGGGAAAGGAGCATGCCAGGGAGGGTCCTGTCTTCATACCTTTCCAATGTGTATGTGGAATAGATCATTCAGGAGACTGGGCTTTATGGGGAGGAATGTGGCATCAGGACTGGAGGAAGACTCATCAACAACCTGCATTATGCAGATGACACAACCTTTCTTGCTGAAACGGATAAGAACCTGAAACATTTGCTGCAGAAGGTCAAGGATTGTAATCTCCAATATGGACTGAAGCTCAACATCAAGAAGGCAAAGATTCTCACCACTGGGACATGAGAGAAGAAGAGATTGAAGTTGTTAACAATTACAGCTTGCTCGGCTCCACAATCAACACTATTGGCATCAGCAGTCAGGAACTCAAAAGACCAAATGCTTTGGAGAAGTCTGCTCTCAGGGACCTCTCCAAAATGCTAAAGAGTAGTAATGTAAGTTTAGGGACTAAGGTGCACCTGATCCAGGCCACAGTCTTTGGAATTACTTGCTATGCATTAGAGAGCTGAATGAGTAAGGACGACAGAAGAAGAATCAGTGCCTTTAAGATGTGGTTCTGGAGAAGAGTATTGAACATGTTGAGGACTGCCATGAGAACAAACAGGTCTATATTGGAGAAGGTAAAAGAAAATTTCTCCTTGGAGGCAAGGACTTTGAAGCTCTGTCTCACATACCTTAGGTATGTGGCCAGGATAGACCAGTCCTTGTAGGACACCATGCTTAGGAGTGTGGGAGGCAGTGCAGGAGAGAAAGATCCGGGATGAGATGGATTGACACAGTGACTGGGATAATGGGAGTAGGTGTGTCCGAGTCAGTGAGACTGGTTCAGGACAGGGCAGGGCTCAGTGCCATTGTATATAGGGTCACTATGAGTCACAGGAGACATGATGGTACATAACAACAACAACAACAACAGGGACTGTTTGGTGGAGTAAGAAAAATTAAATTTTTCCTTTGGAAGAAAAATATCTTTGGCATTCATAGAAAATTTTAAAATTACTGGCATCAGTGGTTCTGAGGGGGAAGTTGATAGGTTGAAGAATAAACCCAATTTTACATTTTCAACAATGGAGAGTAGTGATGATGATGACGGTACTGACTAACATACTGCTGTCGCGTGGATTTCAACTCGTAGCAAAACTACAGGACAGAGTAGAACTTGCTGATAGCACTTCTGAAGCTGTAAATCTTTGTAGAAGAAATCTACCTCATCAGTTTCTTGTTTAAATTATCAACCTTTGAATTAGCATATCACTGCTTAATCCACTGTGCTGTCATAGTTCCATGATACTAATATTGTTCTCGTCTGTGTTTCTGGGGAGCTCTGATAGTTTAGTGGTAATAAACTGTGCCGCCAGTTCAAAGGTATGTGGTTCAAATCTGCTAATTGCTCCAGTGGAGAAAAATGGACAATTTTCTTCTGGTTGATTTACTGCCTCTGAAAAGCCACTGGATGGTCAGCTATCGGCTGATCATGACAGTATGCAATAATAACATTTCTATTTCTTTCCTTTGTTAAACACCTAACACAACAACAAATAAAAACAAACAAAAAAGTATCCAACAAAACCAAACCCACCACTGCTAAAGCTGGTTTGGATTCATAGAGATATTCCGCTGGGTTTCCAAGGCTGGAACTTTGTAAGGGAGGGAGACTGTTTTTCTCTTAAGGACCAACTGGCAGATTCAAATTACTAGCAGGGCTATTAGTAGCCTAGCCTCTCACTCCTATTTCACTAGGGCACCTTCATAGTAAGTTGTTGTGTTATTGGGTTCTACAGAATTGGAACCAACTCTTACCTGACCCTCCAGCTGGTTTTCAGACATCTCCAGAGTCCTGAGAAGCAACGATGTCAATCTAGAGTCTAAGGTGCACCTGATTCAGGCCATGGTCTTTGCAATTACCTGCTATGCATAAGAGAACTGGACAATGACTAAGAATGACAGAAGAATTGATGTCTTTGAGTTGTGGTGCTGGAGAAGAGTCTTGAACATACCATGGACTGCCAAGAAAACAAATAGGTCTGTCTTGGAGAGACTGAAACCAAGTCTCTCCTTGGAGGCTAGGACTTTGAAGCTCCATGTCACACACTTTGGGCACGTGGCAGGAGGGACTAGTCCTTGGAGAAGGACATCATGCTCGGAAGGGTGGAAGGACAGTGCAGGAGAGGAAAACCCTGGATGAGAAGGATTGATACAGGAACTAGGGAAATGGAGGTTGGTGTGTCAAGAGTCAATGAGCCTGGCTCAGGACAGGGCAGGCTTCAGAGCTGTTGTACATAGGGTTGCTATGAGTCGCAGGTGACGAGATGGCACACAAAATAAAAACAACATGTTGAGAAAAAAGAAACCTGCTGATTTTTCTTTAAAAAAGACTCACAACAACAGTAGCAGCAGCAGCAGCAGCAGCACCTCCCAGTTGTTGAATGGTTACTACTTGCCTGGTGCTTTAAAGGTGGTCATATACTTACACAAGCTCAAGAGGCGAATACCGTTATCTCCATTATTCATATCGGGAAAATAATAGTAAGAGAGCTAGTGCTGGCTCAGGGCCACACGGAGTGAGTGATGGAGCCTTTCATTCCAAGGCTTATGTTGTCATGAGCATTTCCTGCCTCCTTAATCAAACTGATAACATGAGAGAAGGAATTATTGTATCAGAGTACCATCATGAACTATTATCCCAGAGTATCATCCACCCACAAAGACAGCTGATCAGACAGAAACACAGTGCACATAAATGATGCAGTCAGTCTTCACCGCGGTGCTGAGTACAAATTGGCTCGTGACAAAGAAGAAGGAGTCCAACAATCATTTGTTGAGATGTACTCTGTGGTTATCCTTCCACTTGCACCCACTATAGCCATGGGAGTCAGTCAGAGAAGATGGGAAATCAAACAAGTGCAATTAAACATAATGAGGGTCAGTCTAGGAGAACATGACAGAGACACAGGGACTCTTAAGCCTGGGTCAGGTAAAGCTGAGACAAGAAGGAAGAAAATCTTGAGCATTTAACAAGGAAAGAAATCAATGTTTTGGGAAGAAGAAGGAAGAGCCCGAATGAAGGCCAAACACTTAGAAAAAAACAAACAAAACCTCTGGTGTGGCTGGGTGGTCGGAGTGGGTTAGAACAAAAGATGAGTCTGAAGGGGAAGGGGGTAAAGAGAGAAGGAGGGCCAAGCTAGGGGATATGATATGTGCTTGATTGTCCATGGAAAGGGTGCAGGTTTGAGTTGATCCAGAGACACTGGAAGAAGAAAGATCTGGTGAGAATGAGCCACACAGTCCTGCTGTGACACACATGAAGTCTCTGTGGCTTGGAACAGACTCAGTGGCAACTGGGTCTGCTAAGACATTAAGAAATTGAGGAAGAGAAGGTGTTAAGAATGAGATCTGTATCTGCCTGAGTAGATGACAGAAGAGTGGTATCTTTTGTAAGAGAAGAATACCCAAGAAGAGAGAGTTTGAAGTAGGGTGATACTGGCTAGAAGAAGGGAGAGAATGAGTTCAGGTAAATGTGGACGGTGCATTTTGAAAGGATCTGTTTCACTTTTGTACAGCAACATTTTAATAGATTGTGTGATTAATCTTTCTGGTAACTATGTGATAGTCTCGCATGCATATTAAGGACAGCTGGATGGACTAAGAAGAGTTAAGCTTCAATAAAAGTTGTGTTTTTTAAAAATTTATTATTAATTTCAATGAAAATTTACAGAGAATTTGGATTTCCATTCATTCATTGTTGCACTTTTCTCCCCTCCCAACCCTCCCCACTAGTGCACTACCCTATTGGAAAAGTAAAAGAAAAATTCTTTCATTGTTTTACAATCCCTTCCCCCAGGTCCACTCCACTAGGCAGCCTTCGCTCTGGACTCCTTTAATGACAAAAATACCCAATCACATATCCGTTTTAAACAGTTCTCTCCCTCATGTTTCAATGCAGTATACATTATTAAACCCACTTTTCTCAGTCTCCCCCCAAGCCCGAGGTCAGTCCTGTTTTACAATAGTGGCACTATGCAGTATTTGTCCTTTTGTGACTGAGATACTTCACTGAGCATAATGCCCTCCAGGGTCACCCATTTTGAATAATATTGCATGAGTTGCTTGTTTTTCAATTCAACATAGTATTCCATTGTGTGAATATACTACAGCTTCTCTATCCATTCATTTGTTGATGGACACTTAAGTTGTTTCCAACTCCTTGCTATTGTGAACAAAGATGCAATAAACATGGGTGTGCATATATCTGCTTGGATGTCAGTTATGGTGCTTTGGGGTATATTCCCAGTAGTGGAATTGCTGGGTCAAATGATATCTCTGTTTGGAACTTTTTGAGAAAGTGCCATACCGCCTTCCACAGTGGTTGCACCATTTTACACTCCTACCAACAGTGAATAAGGATTCCAGTTTCTCTACAACCACACCAGCATTTGTTGCTTGCTGTTCTGTTAAATTTTGCTATTTTGACTGGGGTGAGACTATATCTAATAGTTGTTTTGAACAAGTTGGGTTTTATAAAAGATACTCAAATGTAGTTGTTGAGTAGGCTATGATATTCAGGAGAAGGGTGAGTGGGAGGCAGAAATTTTAGAGTCAAAGGCATAAAACTGAT